TGAAAACCAAATAAATGACTCTCAGCATATTTCTAACTCTAAACATTGAGCTCAGCACCTCCTCGCCTCCACAGCTTAAAGTAACAGATAAAAAAAAGCAGCTCGAGAGGGAAGGCTTAACTTAATGGGTTAGCAGGGGAAAGGGAGGAAAGTCAAATATTTCCTACACAGTATAATTAATGCTCTACGCAAGGCACTTCACAGGTGCCGTGAGAGATATAAACAAATATAACAACAAGCAGCTAACACTCTATTTGGAAAGAGGAGGAACATTTAACTGGATAATATTAAGGGGAGAAGACTAAGTAGTGACGCAGCGTTTCATGGCTGGGGAGGCCGCCGAGAGCTCAGCGGTCACGGGCCCTGGCTGCACACACTCACGTGGACAGGCCCTCGACGTAGGGGCCGGAGGCCGGGTGCTCCCGCACTCTCAGCTGTGGGCAAACATGAACCACATTAACAGCAAGGCAAATACTTCATATAAAAGAGAATTTCAAATGACCTTTTTTTTTCTATATTTCGAGTCTACGGTAAAGAGATTTGTCTCTACCCGGAAATAAATATAAAGGTCCTCACAGAAACACATCTGTAAGGCACTAGGAAACTGCCTCAAGACCACAAACTGTTCACATCTGCACAGTATCTGACAATATACCACAACATCAAATATCTTACTAGTTTTTTACTCCTAAGTCCTGCCGTAGCTATTGTGTATATGCTTTTAAGTAGCTTTCTAAAATACGTGCAATAAATTTCAGACAGTTAACATTTTTTTCCGTTTTACATTATACATTTTAAACTTTGTGAACAGAAATTTAAAAACATGTAGAAGTCAGAGAAGGAAACGCCAAGTTTTGCGTGAGTCTCTTGATGTTGCCAAAACCAGACTGCATGACCTTGAGCAAGTCGAGTGACCTCTCAGATGTTAGCTTCTTGCTCTCCACAGCCCTTTTCCAAGTCAGAAATCTTTAATTCTAATAGCGGTTGTTTAAAAAGTTTATGCCTTTGTGAGACTTTCTACTTCACAGAAAATATCAATTTGCTAAATAATCGAGTGAAATACATATTCTACAATAACAATACAGTTTTTTTACCTTTTATTCTTTTTTGGCTTTGAAGACTTTTAGGAATTTGGTATTTGACATAAGTGGTCCAACTAAATCTTAGAATGTTTTATCTTTAACTTCTACACAATACTTGCTTAAGTAAAATGAGGTTACAGTTAATAACTAGTTTAATGTCCACTAACAATAACGTTCAGCTTATTTAGTAAATAGCAATGTAGTTAGACTGTAGATTTCAAGCATTTGCTATCATATGCATTTTAGTAATTAAGCTATATATCATCTTGAGAACCAATATAATTATATGCATCAATAAAACAGAAATTAAAAACAAATAAGTTTTTAAATCTTACTGTTTGCTTTCTCTGCCCATTTTCACCTTTACAAACCAGAAGGTCATGAATTTTTTCATTATATACTTCAAAGAAGCTCATTTCAAGGTGATAGCTGACCTAGCAGGAACAGAAACACAGCATACAATTTATTTGAAAAGTTCTTGCATTTTTTACAAATCATATCTGATAACAGTCTAGTAACCAGAATATATAAAGAACTCTTACAATTCAACAACAGAAAGACAAACAACCAATTAAAAAATAGGCAAAGGACTGAACAGACATTTCTGCAAAAAAGATACACAAATAGTCAACAAGCACATGGAAAGGTGTCCAACATCACAAGTCAGTAGGGAAATGCAAATCAAAGCCACGGTAAGAAACCACTTCACACCCGCTAGGATGGCTGTAATCAAGGAAACGGAAAACAGCAAATGCTGATGAGGATGTGGAGAAATCAGAACCCTCCAGTGTTGCTGGTGGGAGTGTTAAATGGTGCAAATGTCGTGGAAAACAATGGGCAGTTCCTCAAAAGGTTAAAGCACAGAATTACTGTATAACCCAGCAATTTCACTCCTATCTACCCAAAAGAATTACAAATAAATTCAAATTAAAAATTACTCAAATAGGGACTTCCCTGGTGGTCCAGTGGTTAAAAATCCGCCTTCCAATGCAGGGGACATGGGTTCGATCCCTGGTCGGGGAACTAAGATCCCACTTAGTTGCCACAGGGCAACTAAGCAAACGCCGCAACTACTGAGCCTGCACGCTCTGGAGCCCACACACCACACCGAGAGAGAAGCCCGTGCGCACAACAGAGAGTCCACGCGCCGCAAGGAAAGATCCTGCGTGCCGCAACTAAGACCCGACGTAGCCAAATAAATAAATAAATATTTTTAAAAATTACTCAAATAAAAATTGTACACAACTGTACAACTGTGTATTGTGATAGCAACAGTATTACAAAAGCCAAAAGATGGAAACAGCCTAAATGCCCATCAACTGATAAAGAAGACGTGGCGCATATATGCAATTGCATATTAATCAGCCATGAAAAGGAACGAAGTGTCAATACATGCTGTAACACCGATGAACCTCATGCTGCATGATATTCCACTTACAGGAAACGTCCAGAACAGGTAAAGCCACAGAGACAGAAAGTAGGGGCTGAGGGGAGGGAAATGGGTTGTAACTACTTGATGGTACATGGATGGTCTCCTTTGAGGGTGATGAAAAGTTTTTTAGACCCAGATAGAGGTGGTGGTTGCACAACATTATAAATGTACTAAATGCCACTGAGTTTTATATTTTAAGGTGGTCAATTTTATGTTATGGGAATTTTATCTTAATATAGGAAAATTTCTAATTTCAATAACGAAAGTCCTTGCGTTTCTTACTAACTCCTAGGAAATTCACCTAATTCAATTCACCTCAGTATGTGCATGGCTTTGGTCTACATGAGAAGGATATACAGAAGTATATGGCAAGGTTCTCGCCCACGAGTTTCCATCTCAGAGAAACATAACATAACCTCCAACAGATAAGACAGAGCAATAGAAAATTAAGAACCAAAATGAGAAATCATGACCGTAGATGAAACGGCCAATCAGAAAGGGGAGATGCAGGTGCCAGAAAGGCTGGGGAAGGAGGAGAAAAGGATGTGAGGCATGAGGAACGCAGCGGGCTGGACCCTGTGGGGGAACACCTGATCTGCTAAGTGAGGATCTTAAATCAGATCGTGATTCTTGATTGTGGCAAAAAACAATCACCAGACTCAGCAGAGCTGAGCTTCTCGTCCTTCAGACTCTGAAGGACGAGGTGTAAAAGCCAAAAGGGGAAAATTTGCTTCCACGGAGCTTTTCTGAGTTAGGGCATGTTTCCTTGTTAGAGAAATAAATTTCATCCACAGGCCCAAAGTGAGTCAGCAAACACCCAGCGCTAACGAAACTAGAAGCTTCAAGGGAGACCAAAGAGATGTAGGTTCAATTCGCCAAATATTTATTGGGCCTACCAGGCACACAGCACTCTTCTAGGTGCCGTGGGAGACCCTGAGGTGAACTGGACAGGCTTCATCCTCAGAGAACTCACAGTCTAATTGGAGATGCAACACAGCACTTGAGTAACACAGACAGAAGGATACAGCTAGCGTCCCGGGAGAGGAACAAAGCACTTCCGGATAGAGATCAGGTACAGGTGAACCCATGCAATTACAGGTTATTTACAAGGGCTGTGGATACAGGTATTGGGGCTCAGAATTCAACAAACATGCATTAATGTCTATTATGTATAAAACAGTGTACTGTGTTATGGGGCTTCCAGGGGGCCTTGGAGAGGAACATGCTGTGGGAGGAGCGCTGCAAAAGGCGGGGAGGTCACGTGGCAGAGGATCACGCTTCGTCTGCCCCTTCGAGGCGCCTGGCATCTACGGCTATACCCCCTCCGAGACCCCCACCCGCACGCTGTTACCTTCTACCAGCCTGAATAACCCCAAATTGACAAAACCACAGTCACTTTGCTGGGCTCTCTATGTGGCGGGTCCTGTTCAAAACCTTTCACACAGACGAACGCATTTCATACTCACAGCAAACCTAGGAGAACGTCCTCCTCGTCCCCAGGCTCTGTGCTGAGGCACTCAGAGAAGTTAAGCACATTGCTCGAGGTCACACTTCCAGCATGGAAGTGTGGAACCTGGATTCCAGCTCAAGCCATCTTCAAAGTCCACGCTCTGAACCGTTTCATGTGTTCCTCTCACTGACAAAGTCGCTCCCCACAACTGGAGCCCCCCAGACCCGTGATCACTCCAGAGACCCCTCGCCTTCACCTGCTCCCCTTCCCTGGCTCCCACCACCTCTAAACGAAACAGATGCTAAACAGAGGGGCCTAACCCACGGGCCACGCCTCCTCTAAGGACCCCGTGCCCCCCGGCTTACCTGTTCCCATAGCCGCCGCCCTCTTCCTAACCTAGTATTTACTTCACTTTATTTAGCATCTCAGTGACTGTACTCGACTGTGTACTGGCCCGTTTCTCCATCACACTCTCTTCACTACAGGCACCGGGTCTTTCCACTCCCTGCTCCCAAGTACAGCACAACATTTTCCCAAGTCCCCTTATCATAAGAATCACTAGAGGAAAAGTATGAAAATTATAAATTCCCAGGCTACCCTCTAAACCAACTGAATCAGAATCTCCAGAAGCTTTTCAGCAAGTACACCCACACACACTTTCCTAGGCACTCTTATCTCGGAAAAACTGGTCTAACAGGCTGCCCGGCAAACAGCTGGCCACGCTAGGACCAGGTGAGCGGGCGTGGGCACCCAGCACTGGGGCACCGCGGGGCACGAGCGAGGCTGTGACCTCCACTCCGGGCTGAATCTGCAGGTCACTCCCCTCTCTCCTACTGTCGCCGTCCTAATGCTGACGCCTGCCGCCCTTAGGGAAGGCCGGGCCGCCGCCCCGCTGCAGACACGCACGACGGGGCGTAACTACCGCCACGTGCACCCCACACCCATAGAAGTGATTGGGCAGAGAAGGCGGAAGAGAGGACCCTGCATCCCTGTCCAGCAGGAGGAACCGCCTCTGAGTCTGGAGCCCCCATCCCCCAAACCACTGTCCGAAAGGAGAGCGACCAGAAGTTACAACATCTTCTGCTGAGTCGTTCCTTAGCAGCCACGACTCTGACTTTAACTTGATTTGACCATTTTCTAGTCTAATAAGAAGGCTTACGGATACTATGAGAACATACCTCCTGGGTTTGTTTTTTGGCTATTTCAGCAAAAAGACCTTCACAGAATCTTGGAATTATTCCTGGTTCTTCACTAAATCCCATCATCCTGGAAAATACATTATGAATAGGGAGGAAGTAAAACTAATTAGGTTTTTAAGTTCTTTGGGGAGAAATTAAACCTCAATTTTCTCTTCTGTAAAATGGGAATAAATAAGAACTATCTAATTCAGAGCCTTTAGCACAGGGCCTGGAATACAGTAAAAGCTTAGTAAGTGTTAGCTACTATTAAAATTTGAGTATTTCCTTCTAGGACAGGTATTATTACCATACCGTTGATCAGATGACTTGCTTGTAATTCTCACAACAATACTTCCAATTAACCTCTCTGGCTTCAGTTTACACAAGAAAGAGTTTATAGTAAAATGGGGCCAACGAAACAGTATCTCACGCATAAACAGAAACCCAGAGACAAAGTAACATGCCCAAGTTTGCTGAACTACTATGTAAAATGGAGAGATTTGCGCCCAGGCCTGCGCAGTTGCAAAACTATATTCTTTCTATTAAACTATGCTGCTTCGCACAAAAAAATGGAAACATTTCTGGATAATCGGACTTATGATACAACTTACGTATAGGACTTTCCAGAGCCAGTCTGACCATAAGCAAAGAGACAGGTGTTGAAGCCTTCGAAGGCCTGTTCCAGGAGCGGGGCTGCCAGTGCCTCGTACACGGCCGTCTGGCTCGCGAAGCGGGGATGACACTCATCAACGGACCAGAAGGAAAGGTCGTAAACAAAACTGTACACCTGTCTCATGCTGGGATGTTCCACAGCTATTTCTTCCCCGTTCAGGAAGACCACCTGGGATGTTTCTTCACTCTTCTCTCTTTAAAAAGAAGCGCAGAGAAAAATATCGTTACTATAATTATTCTGAGTATTATTCCCACAGAATATAATGAGGAGCTCAAACTAGTTAAATACAACCTTACTCCAGACCAGCACACGTAATGATAGTGGGTTTCCAAAATCTATTTCCTGCAGCTCCAGTGCCACTGCTCAAAGGGAAAATGGAGTTCCAGATTGCTTGTCTGGGAAAATGCCCCCTGCTTTTACAGGATTTTCCATCTTTTTCCTTTTTCTCTTAAGCTCGCCCTTTTCTCATCCTGCCTACTATAATCTACCTGTCTCAGCAGTTCAAACCTAGAAACTTGTTTGAATGTATTACGAAGAAATTCTGGAGGTACAAATCTATATAGAGCTGCTAAGAAACACAATTTCAACAAACTCAGTTAGATACAAGTCTGAACCGCAGGCGTCTCTGGGCTACTAGCTGCGCTTCTATGAGTCCAAAGGCTCCTCCTCTCAATTCTCTCTTTGGGTCCATCCTTCTTCCATCTAAGACTCAGTAGGAAACCTTTCACTGGCTCCAGAGCTGCAGAAAAACAGGATCAGCCCTTGTCTGGCCCCAGGTCTCTCCTCCTGCCCCCAACTCTGATTTCGATCAGAAACTACTGTGGAAACCACCTCCCTCATCCTCCCCCGCGGGCCTGCTACAGGCGCGCCTGCCGGGTCTGCAATCAGCACGTGGTCCCTCGCTCCACCCTCTCCAGGGCAGCCACCCATCCCGGGCTTGTCCCTTCTGCCCCTCTTCCCCACACAGTCTTGAAGCTCTTTGGTACTGAGTTCTCTCCCCTTATCACTGACCCCACGTTTTCAGCTAAAGGGCTCACAGCCCTCTGGAACTTGCCTTAACTGCTGGCCATTTAGGTTCAAACCAGAGGTCCGTCTGCACTGCCGGGTCACCATACCCTCCTCTAACTCACTTAGGTCCACAACAGAGTTAAAAACTACTGACTCTGTGAAGTCTTCACAGTCATCTCTCCAAGAATGTAAAGATAACCAGATGCCACATTCACACTGGGCGGGTCGTCTTTTCCAGCACAACCCACAATCTGTGAGTGTCTCACCCACAAGCACGTTTGGGGAGAGATTTTTTTTTGCCATCAAAATCAAATCTAGGGCTTCCCCGGTGGCGCAGTGGTTGAGAATCTGCCTGCCAACGTAGGGGACATGGGTTCGAGCCCTGGTCTGGAAAGATCCCACATGCCGCGGAGCAACTAAGCCCGTGAGGCACAACTACTGAGCCTGCGCGTCTAGAGCCTGTGCTCCGCAACAAGAGAGGCCACTACAATGAGAAGCCCGCGCACCGCGATGCAGAGTAGCCCCCGCTCGCCGCAACTAGAGAAAGCCCGCGCGCAGCAACGAAAACCCAACACAGCCAAAAATAAATAAATAAATAAATAAATTTATTTTTTAAAAAAATCTAATCTAATAAATGAGCGTAGAACCACCACATGGCAGAGATGATGAGGGGGTAACCACCACTCTGGAAAGGGTTTCGGAAGGACCTCTTTGGGGAACGAGTGACCTGCTGTGGCTCTTTTCAAGGGAAAGGTAGAGATCCCACCGTACATTACAGATCTGAAAGCAGACTGCGTTAAACTGAAGTCATTCAGACTTTTAAAAAGCAGTATAGCCAGAGAAACTTACGTCTGCAAAATACGGTGATTTCGATTTTTTAATTTTACAGCCAATCATCAAAAATAATCCACATACTACAACTGAACCGAGAAGTTCTATCTATATAAAAGAATCACCAGCCAGTTTGAAAATGCATGAACATACTGACTTCCCAAAGGCAGAGAGGAACTGGACATGCCCCACGCCACCAGCCTGGCCTTAGACAGAAAGGGGAACGTACCGCATGCTGAAAGGCCTGACTCTGACTGCCACCGTCACTTGACTGTTTTCCACTTTTAGGGGGTCTGTTTCTGTAGAGGTTCTCTGAAGTGCAGTTTCTTCTTCAAGAAGGAATATATTTTCTCGTGACCGTTCCCTTTTGTTTGCGAGAAGAGAACTTTTCGGCCTTTGTTGAACTTGAAGGGTAGGCATCCTGTTTTTCAGAACTGACGCAGCTGGGCTCTTAAACTGAGGAATGCCACGCTTTGGTGTCGATCTGTGCTCTGTAACACACTTCGAAGGTGTTCTTTTCTCTAAGCTTTCAAATTTAGGTGCAAGTTTCGCACCATCCTTCCCAGCACTTCTGTGATGTAAGCTTCCTGTTCCTGACACTCTGATATCCAACTGGCTCTGAATAGGTTTTGTTGCCAAGCGTCCTGATCTAACAGCTTCAGTCTGACTCTGGGAACCAGAGGGTGGTCTATCACTTAGGGACTTAAGGGCAACATTTTCATCTGCCCCACCGACAGCGGAAAGCGTTTCTTTGTATTTTCCACCAGCCTTCACTTCAGAGTCTTTTGGGTCTGCAGCTAAAGGTACAGAAGGTGTGACAAGAAAGTCTCTATCATTATTTACAGTCTTTACGTTTATACTAGTTTCTGGTGAAGCACAATTGTTTTCTCCTTTACCTCCCACATTCTGCACTGCTTTCCACTTTTCCACAGAATCTGTCTTAGCCCAACGTTGTAACGCAAGACATGTTTTTGCTGTTTTCGCAGTTGTGTCTCCCAACTCACGACCAAGCAGAGAGGATTCTTTGCTCCTTGTCACTCTCCTCTGAAGTGTTAACCTACCCACAGGGTTAGGGGGAAGGGGTGTATCTTCTGTTTTTTTACAGGCAGAGATAACGTAAGTGCTATTTATGTCTCTGGTTTTACTTGCGGATATCAATAACGGATCATCATTTTCACATTCCGACATATCCGACTTTGAATGCTGCTTCAGCCTGCTACCGTGGGGGAGAACAGGCAGCGATGAACTCTTTGGGGAAGAAGGGATACCAAGGATATTGCTGTCATTTCTACTCTGTGCAGTGTAAACTGACATTGTGGCAACAAGTTATTTTTAGAAAGGATGTTGCTGAAGAAAGTTTAAGCTCTTCTTTGGACGTTCATTTAACTTCCGGCCATTCCTTCTGCATCAGTTTCCAGAACTATCTGCTAAAATTAAATAAATAAGTAAATAAATAAAATTCAGATGGCACGGACTACGAATAGGCCGTAAAAATATGAGAACCTTCCATGGTGAAAGTAACTGCTCAGAGCAATACATCAGAGTAGGTCATGATCTCCAGCTCAGATATGGTTCCCATGCAGCTTCAGACCAACCTCTGACCTCAAAGAGCTTACAGTCGTTACTTACAATCATTACTCGGCTGAGCTCCCATGAGGTGCCAGGCCCTCTGATGGATACTATGGATTTTCAAAGGCAAGACCCCTGTTTCCATTTCCTTAGTCTAGAAGGAATGCACAGATAACACTTCTACCGGGCCAAATGTGCCAGGTAACTTTAAAGATGTAAAAAGCACATGTCGGGGGGCTTCCCTGGTGGTCCAGTGGTTAAGACTTCGCACTTCCACTGCAGGGGGCAGGGGTTCGATCCCTGGTCAGGGAACGAAGATCCCGCATGCTGTGTGGCACAGCCAAAAACAGAAAAAAGAAAAAAAAAAGGCACATGTCAAAGACATAAGAATGGCCAACAAGCATATAAAAAGATGCTCAACATCACTAATCATTAGGGAAAAGCGAATCAAAACTATAATGAGATGCCACATCACTAACTCATTAGAATGGCTACTATCAAAAAAAACAAACAAAAAAAACAAGTGTTAACAAGGATGTGAAGAAACTGGTACCCTTGTGTACTGCTGATGCAAAATGGTACAGCCACTATGGAAAACAGTATGGACAGTCCTCAAAAAATTGAAATTACCACAAGACCTAGCAATTCCACTTCTGGGTATATACCCAAAAGAAATGAAAGCAGGGTCTCGAAAAGATGTCCTTATGCTCATGTTCATAGCAGCATTATCCACAACAGCTAAAATGGGGAAGCAACCCAAGTGTCCACTGACCAATGAATGGCTTACCAAAATGTGGTATATTCATACGATGGATTATTCATCTTTTAAAAGTAAAGAAATTCTGCAATATGCTACAATATGGAAGAACCTCGAGGACATTATGCTAAGTGAAATAAGCCAGTCACAAAAAGACAAATAACATATGACATCACTATATCAAGTACATACAGTAGTTAAAATCATAAAGACAGAAAGCTGCCTGGGGGATCTGGGGGAGGGGAGAACAGAGAGTTAGTGTTTGACAGGTACAGAGCTTCAGATTTACGAGATGACAAGAGTTATGGGTATGGATGGTAGTGACGACCACACAACAATATGAATATATTTAAGGATGTACACTTAAAAACGGTTAAGATGGTAACTGTTAGAAGAGAGAATATGTCAGCAAAGGTTTTTTTTTTTAAGTACCCCCAGCTTGGGGAGCAGGGAGGGGGACTAACGGGGACACTCCAGCACCAAAGTTAAAGACCGGAGTGGAGCACTTCTGCATCAGCTGAATGCACATTACATGCAAGAATGCCTCAGAGAAATGAGTTTGAGAGGTGTCACAGACAGATTATTCCCAAATAAGTAGCAGAGACAATAAATACAATAAGTGCTGTAAATTAATTGCTTATGCTGAGAAAAATTATGCAAGATTAGTTAAGTAGACAGCCTGCCCTCTAGCAGTTAGACAACAAAGTAGACAGGAATGTATTTAACTATGTGTCAACAGTAGCGATCCAGCATTCGTGTTTAAGAGAAAAGAGAACTGCAGTAACAGCTAAGAGGCCTGGCTTCTAGTCAACGCTGAATCAAACTGGTTATATTGATGTAAACAAGTCTTTACATCTGCATGCCTGATTCGAACTTGTAAAATGACACGTGATCATTGACACATATTTCATTGTGAAAGTAAATAAAGGAAACCTCATTTAAAATAGAACTGGGGGATCTAAAGAGCAGCTCTCATGCTTTATCCCTTTGCCATGTTTTACAGACTCTACAGGAAGAAGCTGATTCACATCCCAGAACAAAGAGGAAGAAAGGTTTCCTCGTCGCCTATAGCAACCGTCCAGCCAATGAGAAGATGCGCAGCTCAGCCACTAGGAGGTGATCACCACCCCGACTGTCGTTCAATTCCCTCCTTTTCTTCACACAGGCAGACCTGTCTTAGGCGCTTTGCTGCCCCATACAGATAACTGCGCTTTTTACAAACTAAAGGTTTGTGGCAACCCTGCATCAGCGAGTCAGAGCCATTTTCCCAACTGCATCGGCTCACCTCATGTCTGCGTCACGTTTTGGTAATTCTCACAATATTTCAAACTTTTTCATTAGCCCCCTACTTGTTATGGTGATGTGTGATCAGCGGTCTTTGATGTTACTATTAGGACGCACTGAAGGCTGATGATGGTTAGCATTTTTACCATTAAAGTGTTTTAAATGAAGGTATACACATTGTTTTTTTAGACACAATACTATTGCACACTTCATAGGCTACAGTATAGCACAAATATAACTTTTATATGAAACAAAACATCCCTGTGACTCCATGGATGGTCTCACGGAGCCCACACTACCTGGGAGGTGCCGGGACAGACAAGCCCCTCTCCTCTGCTCTGGGCTGGTCCACCCTTTCTGCTCCAGCGAGCTCGCCCTGAGCTGCAGTTCTCTGCTGCTCCCACACGGACTCTTCCTGCTAATCCAGCAACTGGCTGTTGTATTTTTAAAGTCCACCCCAGAGATTACGGCTCTGGAGGAACAAAATAACAGAGGTTCACTTTCAAGTAAGCCTTTGAAAGTTCTAAATCACTAACAATCATTACCAGAAACTTCACCAGGACCTAAGCATCTCCCGTCACCTTTTAACTAAAAGCAGGGAATCTTCCTGTTACGGAAGCAAATACAAAGGCAAGAAGAGATTGCGGACCTTCAACCGCAGCTGAAAACCCGCTGCTACTTACACGGAACGAGATGGCTCTTTGTTTGTTTTTTTTTGGGGGGGGGGGTCGCTGTGAGACCGGAGGGAAGAGGGGCCCAGACCCCGGGACCGGTTCTCACTGGTCACGCCGGGACCGAGACAGCTACGCGCCCAGAAGGCGGCCCCGGCTGGGGCAGCGGCGCGAAGGGAGAGGCCCGGGCCCGCCCCTGTCCCTCCTGGAGGACCCCCCCCCCCCGC